AACTAAATTTTGCAGAGCGTGTGGCTTTTGACCCTTTGAGGCCTCCCTTGTTTTAATTCATGATTGCTGCGTTTCTAGTTTCCCAGCCTCCACACCATGGACAATAAATTTATCTCAATTTTTAAACTAGTAACATTTGAACTACAAATTTATTGCTTTTACATCCTCTGAGCACACCAGTTATTTATTTGAAGTTAACACTGATGCTTTTGATGAGGCTTTAGACGGGTAGATACCACTGTTATGATTTCCTTGATTTCTTATGATAATTTTCTTATAGAAGATTTGAGGTTAGGCCATGGTTTGCCTTCCAGATTTGCTCAGTTCGCCATTAAGCCATTGATGTCTTCTGATGCTATCAGAAGGGAAATTAAAGCTGTTGACTCTGGCTAGCCAATATTTCATAAAATTGTCCCATGTCTCAAGCTTTACCCCCTACCTTCTCATCTCTATACTCTACCTTGCTCCTTTTCAGAGAAAGTCAAAAGAACCTATTATCTGATGCTTTGAGAAAGGACTAGGTGTATTGCCTTTCTGGAGTCTGTAGGGGTGCATAGTAGAAAATGGTAGAAAAGCAAAATATAAAATTTATCTTGTTATGACGCGTCAAATTTTATGGACTTTTGCGTGAAATATCTCTTATTCATTTTGGATGAAAAACATTATAGTATTAATGATCATTTCATGTATCAAGGGATCTCTTCATGACTTAACATTCTAAAGTGAGTGAAACGTCTCTTAATTTCAACACTTAAAATATTTTGTTTGGGACAGGTAGAAAACACGATTTCCTGATAGCTAAAGGAGATCCCATGACGTGCATGCATGAGTTTACTTGTTCAGTTACTTTAGTTTTGCTGCATCAATAAAACAACTAAGATGTGAGGCCAGTCCCTTTTTAGCGGCTTTACTTTTTATGGGTCTTTGCCTCAAGGTTCCACTTTCTTTAATTAATCTGGCCACTGGTTTCATTTGTGTGTGTTCTGTGACTTATAGTAGGTTCTGAAGTGACTTTAGTTGCTGTGTGTCGGATTGCAATGGGACCGATTGAGACTAAGTTTACTGTTACTGATGTCTTGGGGCCTAATAAAATCATTTGGACCATTTTCTTTGTCAATGTAATAGGGGAGAATTTTTTGGCCTCTATACTGTGCTGGATGCCAGAAGGACCTAGTGAGGAGGAAACCGTTCTCTGTAAAGTTAGTAGTCGACCAAGCTTGGTGGGATCATTGTTTGTAATTTTCAACCTTTTCTCTAGAACAATCTTAATTAATGTCATTTTGAGCTTATTAATGCTAAAAGAAATAATTCTGAAATTTAATGCTTGTTGTTGCTATGTATTTGAGTACTTTACTGAAGGATCTTTCTCTGGAGCTAGTTGAAGTTCTTCTCATCAGCGATCCTGATACTGATAAGTTTGAATTATCTCCTGACGTTGCTCTGTGTTTTGAATTCAAGTTCTTTATCTTTGTTGCTGTGATTTAACCAGTGTTCTGCTTACATGGACGTTTGTGTCGGCTCCAAACGGTCTCGAAGGCTTTGAACATTTCCCTGGTAAAGTTTGACTTTTTGAGCAGGTCGTTGTGTCTGCTTACATTTATAATTTCATATGCCTCGCATAACTTCGATAGCTTTTGTAAGAAGAGTTCTTTGAAAGGCCTATATTTCACGAAAAGGAAAGTCATGTTTTTTTTTTAGCATGAAAATAACTAATTCACCCTAAATAATTGTTTATATTTTTCTTAGGATATTTTTATCAAGATTACCATGTTTCTGTTGCTCATTTTTAATTCTCATGTTTTAGGCAAAAAAATAATCTCATGTCTATTTTTATAATATCAAGCATATATTTTACATTGCAAGATTCTATTCTATTCTCATCTTTATTCCTATTTTCATTCTATTAGATATCTTTTCGTTCCACCAAATATGGTCTTACAATAGGGCCTCACTCATCTTGGCAATTTCTATTTTCTTTGAGATAGTTTTGTAACGGCTTTTCGTTATATTTTATTATTAACCTAAATCTAGCTTCTTCTTGTGCTCCTTTTCCCCAAATCCCAAGTTTATTAATAAAAGTTGAAGACATTAAATTTATCTCAATTTTAAAACTGGTAACATTTGAGCCACAAATTTAATGTCTCGGTCTAATTATTTTAGTAATTTATCAATTATATTTACGCCATAACTCAAGTTAAAGAATTTATATTTACACCAACCATTACTTTGGTGTTAACACTGGTGCTTTTGAGGAGGCTTTAGACATGGTGAGCCCACTGTTGTGGTCTCCTTCATTTCCTATTTCCTGTAATAATTTTCTTTCACAAGATCTGATGTTAGGTCATGGTTTGTCTTCCAAATTTGCTCAATTCTTCATCGAATCAATTAGATCTGCTGATGTTACCATAAGGGAAATGATTCTATATGGCATATTGAAATTTAATTTATATGATATGTTGCATTTTGATATTTTAAAGGGAAAAAAGTGTGATTGGCTTACGGGGCGGATCTTTTGTTGTGGGATGGGTCTTGTAAATAGGAGCCCCCTGTATAAAATGAGGCCTAATGTGTTTCATAAAATAGAAAAAAAGGGGGGCTATATTTTTTATTGGAAAATCAGAGGAGTTATTTGACAATCTTTTCCTTTACACGTGGTTTTCATCCCATTACCCCTTTAGGTCCCCTTCCTTTGAATCTTTGGATGACATTAATCTTGAATCCTTTCTGGCGTAGCTTTTTCTCTCGTGCAGACATGATGCAATGGGCCAATCAAATGGAATCCAAGCAAAGTTTGGATGAATGTATTGCTCATCGGTGTATTTGGCTTTGAAGAAATAATGGGATCTTCAATGGTGCCAATACTTGGCATTAGCAGATCAAGATAGGAAGCTATGTCAAATTAAAGTCCTTGGGACGTATGGAATTTATGTTGGAATGAAAGGATGCAGATTTTCTATCAAAAAGTGAAGGGGAAGTTACTGTTCATATTGGAAATACACGTTAGATGACTAAAATTCACCATAAATAATTTTTTATGTGAAGTTTAAGATATTTTATTAACGTTATCATGGTCAGTTGCTCATTTTTGTTTCCCAATACTTTCTCTATTTTTATTCTACCAGTGCATCTAATAAAAAACTGTTCTTATTTCTTTTCCTATCTTCTATGTATATTTCAAATTACAAATCCTATTCTACTCTCTTTTATATTCCCATTTTCATTCTATTAAAAATCTTTGCATTCAACCAACCACGGACGTGTTGTTCAATCATCTATAATTGATTTTCCGCTTTTGACAGGTTGATTGCAGTTTTATTTATCACACCATGTCATGCTTCCGTTGTGTTTCAATTTTAATTTTGTTTTAGTGAGTTTTGTTTCAATTTTAATGCCTGTAGCTGTAATTAACTTATTTCCAATCACCATTCACCTTCCCACCTGATTGATTGATTCTGCAGTCTTATTAATGATATCATCTACAAATAATATCAGTTGCCTCTGTAGGGTTTGCTGCGAAGGGCGCTGCGAGGCGGCAATGAAAGGTAGAATTGGAGGTATTTTTGTCGGTGTATTTTGGCTTTGGAAACCTTCATCCTATATGCCAAACATGGCTTTCATGTTAGAAAGATCTGGGATATGGCTCGTGTCTTTCCATAAAAAATGGATGAATCTTCGCTTCTCAGGTTGGAAATACTAGTAAAATGACTAATCCATCCTAATTTTTTAATATCAAGTTTAAGATATTTTTCATTATTTTTTATTGAGGTTATTATGGTCAGTTGTTCTTTTTAATTCCCATTACCTCTCTATTTTTATCCTATCAATCAAATATATAATAAAAAATATTTTTATTTTTTTTCTTATTTACCAAATATATTTTAAATTGTAAAATTCTATCCTATTCTCATTTTCGCTCCATTAAATGTGATTTCTAGCCTTTGTGGCCTTGCTTGTTTGATTGCTGTATTTTTCGTGATATCTTATCATATTAAATCATATGCATAACAAAAATTATAAATATTGAATTCATCTCAATTTTAGAAACCAGTAACAATGCAAATTTAATGGCCGAGAATATTTGTATTAGTAATTTATCAATTATATTTACATTTTTTTATCATCCAATTATATTGATCGGCACTGCTTATGCGTGACGAAAGTCGAAAGCACGAGGCGCGCTACGTGACTGCAATGCAGGGACTCTTGTCGCGGATGTGATGCAATGGGCCAACTAATGGAATCCAAGCAAAGGTAAAATGAAAAGAATTGAGCAGGGGGTCACTCTTGCAATTATTTGTCAGTGTATCTGGCCTTTGAATAAATAACAATGGAGTCTTCTATCGTGCCCATACTAGCAAATCGGAGGCTCTGTCGGATTAAGGCCGAAGCTATCAATGGAAGCTTAGACTGGAGACACAAGTGGGATATAGTCTCGGCGGCTGCCGTGGGATAGTCCGAAACCATGAGGACAACATGACACGGAGATTCTGTGTTATTTATCACGCTAAATTGATTATAATTCTTAAGAATTTGATTGAATCCCCTTTTTATTGTCCCTCTTTTCAGTCTTCTGGGACCAATAGATAATATTTGTGTCGACGTTGGGGCTTAATTTACAGATGACCGTTCAGAAATCAGAAATATATCAGCGAACATGGAAAATAGTTATTTTAATATATTCAATCGTAGACTTGTATTCTTCTAAATTATAAGATTTTAATATTGATTAAAATATATTTTCAGCTAAATTTTAGCTCTAATTCTTTAAAATTTATCTAAAATTTTATGAATTATTTTTTTAATTTGTTTATTAAAACATCATTTAATTTTATCAAAAAAACTTTTGCATTAAATTTTTAAATATTAACTAAATATTATGAAATATTAATATATTAAGTTTATTTTTTAAAATAATAATGATTGACAAAAATAATTATTTAAAATCAATAATATTTGAATTAAAGGATTGAAAATATATTTTATAAGATTAAAAATAAAATCTTTTTAAGCATCAAAAATCAAAATACACTAAAATAAAATCTTTTTAAGCATCAAAAATAAATTATTTTTTTTCAAGCATCAATAATATGTGAATCCAGAGTTGCTGAGTTTGGAAGAGAAGCGAAACGTTGCTGTCCCCTCGGCTGCCAGCACCTTTCTCACTTGGGATTGAGAGGAAGCGACGGAAGAGGGAAGAGAGGGAAGAAACGACTACAAATTGACGATGGCGGTGGGGAAGGAAGAGGTAGAGATTTTTAAAGCTCGCTCGGACAAGAGGGATTACAGAAGGATTGTTCTACGGAATTCGCTTGAAGTGCTTCTCATCAGCGATTCCGATGCCGATAAGGTTGAATCATCTCCCGACGCTGTTTTCTGTTTTGAATTCAAGTCTTTTTTAAAATATCTGTTTCTGTTATTTTTCCAGTGTGCTGCTTCCATGGACGTTGGTGTCGGCTCCTTCAATGATCCAGACGGTCTTGAAGGCCTTGCCCATTTCCTGGGTATAGTTTGACATTTTGAGGCGGTCATCGTGTTTTGTTACGTTTTTTATACTTTGAACGACTTCGATTAGGGGAGGGGGCCTCTCCCTTTCCTTACCTCCTTTTTCGACAAGGAAAAAGAGAGGCAACTCTCCCCTTCGATTACTTTACCCCCGCCTCCCGGGGGGCGGCGCGGCTTGACTACTACTTTGATAGCTTTTCAGTTTTGAATATTTTTATTTTGCTAGCTGCATTGGTAAAAACTCGATATTGTTGGAGAGTTGCGTGTTCCAATATACTTTAAAATTAAAATTACTTTTTACATGAATAATCAATGATTGGCTTCCAGCTATTGTCAAGTTGACTTTAACAATAGATGGCTTACCACCGAAGGGGAGACAAGAAACAAGGAAAACGATAGACCTGATCTGGTTACCAAGAATTCAATTTATATTTTAACATTAGATTACTCACCTTAAGGGCGCTTTATCTGAGGATGTGATTGGAATGTTACTTATTTGAAAAATTATTACGTGATGATCAGTTGATTTTTGTTGCTTGCAGAGCACATGCTTTTTTATGCCAGTGAAAAATACCCGGTAGAAGATAGCTACTCCAAGTATATTACCGAGGTAAATGCTGCTATTATTTTTTTGACTAACGCCAGGTGAGCAGGACCACTGGTGCCCACTCAAGTATTGGGTTAACGCTGCCATAATTTTCAGATAGCTGAGACTGTTTAATTCCTTGAGCTGCTGTAGAATTTCCTGTTCAGTTTAGTACTTTAGTTCCGCATTTTTTATTTTATTTACAATTGTATGAAATTGGAGAGACTAAAGGAAATCTTTGATCTCTCATAAGGCTTTTGAAAATTACTGGAAAGTTTTTCAGACCTGAGGCAAGTTAGAGCTAGCCTTGATATAGAATGATGAGCTTATTGCATTTCCTTGATCAGCGCATTAAGCTCTAATAATGATTTAAAGTTATAAAATGATGAACTGAAAGGCAAGTTTATGCTTTTAATTGGCGAGTATTAACAATTAACATTTGGTAATTTGGTCAGAGAGGCTCTAATCTCTTGTCAATGACTGCTTCAACTCAAAACTTACGTGATAGTTCATAATTATTTTTAGTAATATGTCTAATTGGTGCCTCTATTTTTGTGTGTGCATGTGTTGGAGTGTTAGGCCTTTTCATCATTTAACTCTTCTATCTAATGACATTTTTATGAGTGGTGGAAATTTCTAGTGTACAGTTCTTCATTATATCATTTGGCAGTTATGTGACTTCACCCTTGATAGTTGTTTCTTCAATTGTTTTCTAATGACTGTTGTTTTGCCATCACTGTGGTTTGTCTTCATGACACAGCATGGAGGAAGCACCAATGCTTTTACATCCTCTGAGCGCACCAACTATCACTTCGATGTTAACACTGATGCTTTTGAAGAGGCTTTAGACAGGTAGATCCCACAGTTTTGGGTTCTTTCATTTATTATTTCTTATGATAACTTTCATATAGAAGATCTGATGTTTGGCCGTGGTTTGCCTGCCAGATTTGCTCAGTTCTTCATTAAACCATTGATGTCTGCTGATGCTACGACAAGGGAAATTAAAGCTGTTGACTCTGGTTAGCCTATATTTTTTTTAATATTGTCCAATGTCTTGAGCTTTCCCCCCTACCTTCTTATCTTTGTACTCTTCCTTTCTCCTTTTGACAGAAAACCAGAAGAACTTGTTATCTGATGCTTGGAGAATGAACCAGGTGACTATTCTTGGCTTTACTGACTGTAGGGTTGCATAGTAGAAAATGGTAGAAAAGCAAAGTCAAAATTTTATTTTATTACGACATTTATCCTTAAATTTTATTCAATTGGAGTGAAATATCTCGTTTGTTTAGGAAAAGAAGCATTATAGTGTTAATGATCATTTCATTTATCAAGGGAGCTCTTCAGGACTAAACATTCTAAATTGATCTAAAATAGCATTAGATTTACCTGCAATGCTTCAAATGTGTTTGGGGCAAGTGGGCAGCAGAAATAATTTTTGCCAATACCTAAATGAGCTCCCATGGATGTGCTTGCTTCTCCAGTTACTTTAGTTGTGCTGCATCAATTAAAAAGCTAAGACGTGAGGTCAGTCCCTTTTTAGTGGTGAATCTATTTTTTCTGATTCTTTGCCTTTAGGATCCGTTTTCTTGAATTTTTCTGGCCGTTGATTTCACTTGTCTTTGTTATCTGGCTAATAGTAATTGCTGAAGTGACTTTAGTTTGTTGTGTCTTGGATTACTATTGGACTGTTTGAGACTGAGTTTGCACTTACTATGCCTTGGGGCCCAACAAAAATCACTTGGACTATGCATTTGTCAAAGAATTGTGGGAGAATTTTTTGGCTTGTATTCTGGGCTGGGTGCCTCCAGCTGGACATGGTTGGGACTTGGGAGGAAACTATTCTCTATAATTGACCATTGGGGATCACCATTTGTAACTCTCAACCTATGCTCTAGATTAATATCGTTTGGCACTTGTTAAAGCTAAAAGAAATTATTCTGATCTATAATTGTTTGTTCATATGTATTTGAGTACTTTAATAGCATCTATTACCCTCTCCCCCCTGCATGAAATTGCAATCTTTTCAGCTTCAGAAGCATCTCAGTTCTGAGGACCATCCATTTCATAAATTCAGTACAGGTTAGTATTTTATTTCTTTTATTTTTAATAGTGCTAAAATTTGAGTAGTTGCTTTTTATTGGGTGCTTTGTTTATAGATAGTTGTTTTTTTTTTTTTGGGTTGATTGGCATGTTGAAAACTTTCTTCTCATTGGTAAACTAAAGCACCCAATTGTGTTTTGGTCTTGCCTGTTTCCTAACCGAGAATTCCTATGAAGTAATGCTTCTTCAAATAGGATTAATTTTTCTCCTTTCTTGCTCTCTTTCTGCTTTGTCACGTTTTAAATAGATACATGAGATTCTAATGGTTTCAAAATAATTGTGAGTTACATAGGGAACTGGGACACTTTGGAAGTTCAACCAAAAAACAGAGGATTGGACACAAGAAGTGAGCTTATCAAGTTCTATGAAGAAAACTATTCAGCCAATTTGATGCGTCTAGTTGTATATACAAATGGTACTAGATCTTTTCTTATATCAGATACTGGTTCTGCTTTTCTTCATATGGCTCTGAATACCACTATTTGTGCCTGAGTATTTTCAGAAAGCCTTGATAAAATTCAAAATCTGGTGGAAGAGAAATTCTCAGATATTCGAAATATTGACCGAAGTTATTTCCGTCCTCCTGGTCAGCCATGCAAATCAGACCATCTGCAGGTATAATTATACTATTGCAGATTACGTAGTGTTTGACTGATTCAGGGTTTATGCTAATTCTTGTTTGGCTCGTGTGTGTTAGATTCTTGTCAAAACTGTCCCAATCAAACAAGGTCATAAATTGAGAATTGTATGGCCAGTAACCCCTGAGATTCTTTACTACGCGGAAGGGCCATGCAGGTATCTTGGTCATCTTATCGGCCATGAGGGAGAAGGATCATTATATTACATCTTGAAAACTTTGGGTGGGTTTTATACATCCCTTACATATCTTACAATTAATTTTCCTATAACGTCACCTGGCCTCATTTAAAATAAAGATAAAGAATATTGAGTTAAGGATTGGTGTAAATCATTTTCTGGTAATCCTTTCACTATAGGATGAAAGTGGAACTTAAAGAAAGAGGTGATGCTGGTTTATTGTATGTGGTTTTGATGTCATTAACTTGATATTAATTGTCATAAGTTCTGGTGTTTAATGGAATATTTATATTTATGTTTCATCTTTCTTTGTTTCCTCCTCTAGATCAAGATTTCAACCTTCATTTCTATTCTATCCCTCCCTTTTCAAAAAATAACAATCATCAATGCTTAGGTAAGGAGCAGTGGATTTATCAGATGAACTATCAGGCTCCAGCCTATACATTTGAATTTTTAATTTGTTTGAGAACCATACATGAAGGAACATGTAATATCAACAAAATCAGGCTCTAGTTATCATATTTATATTGATGGTAATTCTTTGTGGTGGTATTTACATTCTATTGGTTCTTTTTTAGGACTGGTTTTGTTTTTCACCTTCTTTTTTCTTGGGAACCACTTTTGTCAAATTGAGTTCAGTGAAAAGTACTATAAAAAAGAAGCGATTTGTGTGCAGCAAAATCATTGTTAGCTCTTTTATCCATATTATTGCATGGCTAATTTTAACTAATAAATCTCCTTTTACTGACAAATTACTTAAAATAATATGTATATAGATTTGACTCTGTAGTTAATTTTTGATGGATAAATAATTTTAAATTTTCGTAAGGGTTAACTGTGATTGAGTCAATTTTTTATTTTTCAATCTTATTGAAATGAGGAAAGGGTCAAAATAAGTTTATAGAATGTTTTAATAAAAATAAAACACATATATAAAATAAATATATGAAACTAGCTGTGGAAGGGTAAGAGAAGAATTGAGAAAAGAAAGGAGTGAATTTGGCACCTAGTGGAGACTGGGTAAAAATAGAATAAGGGATGATATAATAACTAGAAATTTGAGTTAGGGGGTTTTTGTATCTGAAAAGTATGGTTTTTTTTGTGGAGAATCAACAAAATTCTGCTTTGTTTCCACAGTAGAAAAGTTGCTTTTGCTATTACCTAAAAGCAGGTTATGGAAGTTGCTGAGCAGTGAAAAATTGAAATAGGTATCTTTGGAAAAATCAGCAGCTTATTTTAGAAAATATGTGGTTTAAACATGTTCAATTCATATGTAAAGATTTCATCCTGTGGATAGCAGTTTCTTAATTCATTTTAGCTTCTATATCTTGTGAGCTGTGTGATTTTATGAGAAGGATTCTGTTTGCAGGATGGGCAACAGGCTTGTCTGCAGGCGAGTCAGATTGGAATTTGGACTTTTCTTTCTTTAAAGTTGTAATTGATCTTACTGATGCTGGTCATGGTTAGATTTTCTCACTCTTATCTTTACCTCTCTTGCTGTACACATCTTATCTCTTTTGGTATTGTCATGTTCACTTGTAAGTATTCAGAATGTGAAGCTGTCATTTTTTTTTTCAGATTACTGAACAAATCCTAGGTGCGATGTATGTTGGTTTATGGATTTTGTAAATTTATTGACATCTCTATGTT